ATTAAAAGAAGGGTGGAAAAAAGAAGACCAAAGGACCAAGGGGATTTAGAAAAAATAATGAAGGAAGAATGGGACCAGATATCGGAGGAAGAGATAAACAATATAATCGGATCAATGGAAGAAAGGTGTATGGCAATTATTGAAAAAGGGGGTAATAGAATAAATTACTAAAAAATAGAAAGAAAAGGAAAAATAGAAGGGAACATGTAATAAAAAAATAATAATAAAAATTAAAATGAAACTAAAGTAAACAAAAATTATTAAAGTATTCCAAATAAAATTGCCCATCGCTGTATATTTAAAGTTTTATTTCAATTTATTACTGTCCATAATGTAAACTTCATATTGAAAACATATAACATATATTCAAATGTCCAATAGCTTTAAAAGAAACCAATTAAATCATTAAGCAAATTAATCTTATTCTCCATCCCAATGGTGACTCAGAATCTATAACCCATATATGGCAGGTCATAAAGCTAGCATGTGGTATTACTGACAGCATTTTCTCTTTATTAAACTTTAATAACTAGGTATAAGTATTAACTGAAGCCCTAATATAATTATATAACATTATATGGAAATTATGATATGCTACAGTCAATACCTCTTCACAAAATAGTATAAAATAGAAAGATAAATCTCCTAACAATATAATCAAAGACAGTCAAACAACTTCCAAATCAAATACACAAAAATCTCTATTAATACAAGAATTAATAACAACAGTTAACCTACCTATCTTAGTCGCAGACACCTATATTCAAAACAATCTTAACCTTCTAAATGTATTACTAAACAAATCCAAAGCTATATCAATTTTATTTTCTTCAACACTAAGTAGGTAAACATAACCACTCAATACCTTTTGACAAGATATATTGTTTTAAAATTTGTTTTTAATATTAGTCATTTGGTTTTTGTAGGCAAGTTAGCATTAAACTCACTGTACTTACAAATGAAAAATATTGTTTCTTTCATAATATATACTTTAATATACAAATTAAATAAAAAAATGATATTTACCTACTAAAAAAAAAAAAGTTTTATTTTAATTAAATTAAATTATTATTTATTAAATTATAATAAAAAATATCAGTGCTATTATTTTTTTTATTTTTTTTATAGAGTTAAGTGTAATATATGCACTGGTTTTATTAATTAATAAAAATCAAATTATTTAATTACATAAATAGTCTATTAACTAATACTAATTAAGAGATGCTACTTATTCTATTCTACCAAAATACCAACTTACACTTTGTGGATGTATTTATATTCTGGTTAATTCTAATGTATAATCTTAATTTTTAATATATTAATCCTTAATAGATCACTTATTACATTAAACTTGTGACTTATACAGCCATAGGGCCTGTAATCTTACTTCTTTACACTTCTTAATAAATGTTCCAAAAGTTATTCCTATAATTAATGTATATTACCAAATCTGAAAGTTAAATAATCAAGTGTGGTGCAACTTCTAAATCTCTCAATATATATTTTATAGGCTTTTGGTTAACTTAAGCTGTTAAATATAGAGGTACATATATCAAGCAAAGTGCAATTTCTATAAAGTTATTTGGCATTATTCATATATTTGTATTTTGCAATGATTCTCTTCAAAGTAGTCTAGTTTAATTAACACCAGTACAATTATTTTTGTTTCATACTGTATATTGGCATATATTGTTTCTACCTCAGGAGAAAAATAAAGACAGAGAACTAATAGCAAGGAGGCACTTTAGATAAACAGGGCCAATGTGGTATGCTAAAGTTCCTAGAGACATACAAATAAGTACAATTCTAAGATGTATGGGGTCAGACGAAAGAGGCAATAGTGATTTGTTTTGTAAAGGTCAAGTTATTTATTTGATAAAATATATGTTCAAGTCTGCCAATTCCTAGACGAAATTGGAGCCTTTATATACATGTTTGAGTTATATTATTTTCGTACATGATAAATATATGCTATGGTAAAAATATAAACTAAGATATAGATACTATTTTCGTCAGAATATTCAACTGTGTTAACATTTATATAAATAAATAATTTGGCAAAGATAATATAGAAAATAAATATAAAATAAAATATAAATGTTCTAGAATTGATAAATGTGCAGTAAATACAATAGATGTTGAAGGTGCAGTAACAGATCTGTAATACAAACCTATTCTAGAACAACTAACATTTCAAGTATCAATGCTAGTGAAAATCGAACAAGAGGTACTGAAGATCTTGGGCGAAAATCAAGTGTAACAATATAAAATTATATAAAAAAACTGGTCGAAAAATAAAAAAAAATTTTTGTTAAAATTTTAAATATCACAAATATTTTTTTTATAAAATTATTTTATTAACTAATTTAATAAAATTATTAATATTTAATATTATACTAATTAATTTTTTATAAAAATTTTTATATATTTTTTAATTTGCTTTTTTTAAATAAAAAATAAACATTATTATATTAAGATTATTTGATAAATAAATAAATATTTTTTATTATTATATTTTAAAAATATGTTTTATAAAGTTTTTAATATTAAAAAACTCATTCCCACAACACTTCTATCTGTAAAAAATTGCCTTTTTAGAAAGCTTCTTTTTTCCAAGGAACTTTGTCTAACGGAATATGTCTTTTTGGAAGGGGACATAGACCGGAGAACTGATTTAGAGCAGTGGGAGTTTCAAGGATAAGATTGGCCCCTGGGGTTTCCAGCAATGGAGCCTGCACTAAGAGGTCTAGTGACTGGTAACGGCACTGGGCAATAACTTGGAACAGAGAAGATGAATAAAAAGAA